ATGGAGTGTCTTGAATGTGAGAAGGAGGATCTTGAACTGAATTCTGTATTTGATGGGTAACCAATGTAGTTTGTTGAGAATGGGAGTTATGTGAGCTGTTCTTTTGGTGCTCGTTAGAAGACGTGCGGCAGCGTTCTGTACAAGTTGCAAACGATGAATTGTACCGTGTGGAAGACCGGTGAGCAGGCTATTGCAAAAATCAAGTTTAGCAGTGATAAAGGCATGAATGAGTTGCTCTGCTGCGTTCTGAGAAAGTTATACGGGGGGATGCCCCTCCCTCAGCGGATACCTGTGCCCCTCCATCTTAAAAAAGTTGTGCACCCCTGGGTGCCACCCAGACATTTAGCAGATATTACGTCACTGCAGTAAATTCCTATAAAATCACTGAAATTGTGTTTATGCAATCAAACTGCAATAATTGCCTTTATGCGAGTCATAAAATATCACCCAAAAATCAAGACAGTCATTTGCAAAAGTTTAAGACCACCCGTAATACAGTAACTCCAAGGAAAACCAAACTGAAGCAAATAATCTTTGGAACTTAAATTTATTTTTAATGTGTAATATTAGTGTCCTGCTTGAATTGCTGTTTGACTCCATTTCCATTATGACTTGAAACGTAAAGAGCCTAATATTCCATGTGTCCTCCGATGTTTCTGCTGACCTCCTCAGTGAATGCGATGTAGCATGCTTGAGATGAGAGACTGACAGTAGCCCACCGAGATTTCCTTCTCCCATACCTGTTTAATGGCTTCCACTAATGCCTTGGCCATTTGATGGCTGTTTGTCCGTAACCCTCTCTTTCAAAACCTTCCAGCGATTTTCAATTGAATTGAGATCAGGACTGTTCCCAGGTCAGTCAAGAACTTTGACTTCGTTCCTTGACAAGAAGTCCCACCTTGGACCTGTTGCATGGAACACCATTGTGCATGAATATTTTGCATTAATTGTGTGGGCATCCATGCAAGTTTCAGCTGATATTTTGGACCATTCATGGTGGTACTGCGTGGTAGAAAGATCAAGCCAGATGTTCCAGCATTTGGGAGATGGCGCCCCATCATCATCTGGCTTGGGGATGTTTCATGGAACCAAACCAGTTCTGGAACCAAACTTTCGTCCAGTCTTTTGCAGTCCAGAACTAATGTTTCCTAGCAAAACTGTACTGCGTCACGCTCATCAGTAGAGGCAGTTTGCCGAGCGTTATGTCGTGCAACGTTGTTGTTCGTGTTCTGTGTTCCTTTGCGTTTTCGGGCTCCGAGAGCGTTGATTAATTGCCTTGGTGAGACGGGGTTCAAGGGCAAGTTTGTGTGACTTGAGCCGAAATTCTTTGCTCAAACGGCGAGACAGATGGTGCTTACACAAAACGTTTTTATCTTTTGACGAGAACTCGAGGGATCCTTCACAGCAATTTGCCAGATCACATGGTCTTCGAATTCACGAGGGGTACATATAGTTTTTTGGACGACAGTGCCTTTTCTGGTCAGAAATTGAGCCATCTCCTTGAAATTTGAAATGGCATTGTGTACAGCAGTGTTGCTGCAACCAGCCCTCTCCCTAATTTGACGTTAAGAGTACCCCTCTTGATGGAGAATCACTATGGGTCCTTTGAACCTGACTTAGACTGGCATTTTGTACCCAGGCTGCAGCGCCGGTAAAGACAAAATGCCATGCATACCAGGCGTGTCTTGACAAAAACTTCCATTCAAATGGGCTAACAGCACTACTTTTATGTTATGGATCACTAGAACATATTACGAAATCATCCGATGAGACAAAGGAATGCAAGCCCTTTGACAGAAACACCAATAAAATTCCAGGTGACTCTTACAAATGAATGTACATATATACATGTATAATATATATTCGCAATATGCGAGGTCTCGATGATCATATGCTATTGCGTATCAAAGCACAAAGTGTCACTAAAACCGAATGATAGGCCTGTACTGACTGTGGCAATTGGTAACACAATCGTGGAGAGTGTTTCCAACCTACAGTTGCATCGAGCAGACTGTTAGCATCATGTCAAC